CCAGCCCTGCCCGCCCGCCCAGCTGCCGGCAGGGCAGCCTGGGTGCCCGGGTGCCGCGGGGAAGACATCCTGCCCGTGCTAGCCGAAAAGCCAAAGGGCATCAGGTCCCTGAGGGCCACGGAGCTGCCCTCCCAGCTCCCCTCCCCTCCTCAGCCCAAACGCTCGGTCATTCTCCTTTGCCACCAGCAGCGGCTGATGCTGTGAAAGGCATGAATAAGCCCCAAGGGCAGTTGAGTGCCCCGGGCAGGGTAGCCGCTGCCTGGGGTGAGCCGGGCAGCCGGAGGGGAAGGCAACCCGGGTGGGTTGCCCAACCAGGGCAGGGCCAGTCCGTGCTGGCCTTAGCCAGGAATTTGGCTTCGGTCACATTTGGTGAGATGGGCAAAATGATGTTGCACACATGGCTGTTAAATCCCCAGCAGAGATGCAGGGCTGGGGGCTCAGGTGCTAGATACGGGAAAAACAACCACGGCTGAGGGGTGTTGTGTTTAGTGCTTGACAAACACGTGACTGAGTAAAATGATGCCCGAGCTCCTGCCTGGTGAAGGTATAATGCACCACAGTTGGAAAGCAGGCCTAGAAAATTCAATGCATTTTGTTGATTGGTTCCCATTTGCAACTTTAAGCCCATTTTTGAGACCATGCATGGGTTATTTCTTTCAGTGCAAATCCCTGCCCTTCAAATCCAGTTGCTGCATTAAATGAATGTCCTAAGCAGCTGCATTTGGATGTGAGGAAAAATTTCTTTACTGAAAGAGTGGTTAAACATTGGAACAGGCTGCCCAGGGAAGTGGTTGAGTCACCATCCCTGGAAGTATTTAAAAGACGGGTAGATGAGGCGCTTAGGGACACGGTTTAGTGGGCATGGTGGTGTTGGGTTGACGGTTGGACTCGATGATCTTGGAGGTCTCTTCCAACCTTAATGATTCTATGATTCTATGATTTAAGGGAAAATGATATTGAAGAGTGTCCTCTTTTACAAGGGGTAACTAAATGCTTGTTTTTCAAATAACCTGGCAAACAGCAGTTTCTTAGCCCATATTACTTCTCAGCTTTAAAAATCCAGGTAGTCTGTTTTGGCTGGAGCACTGACCTAATTTTTGTAGCCACTGTTCAAATATTTTTTAAATGTTGAGCACAGGACCAGATGAAACTGGGGGCAACCAGAGTAGCCCAGCACATTGGTGCATCATGTGTTCCAGCTGTAACATACAGGAAGACCGAAATATTCCCCTTTTCAAATGAGCCAACATGCCAAACAACTTTAGCAAGGCGTAGTGGAAACCAGCAAGTGGCAATGGTAACTCTCCAAAAGCCAAGCCATAGCTGATGTATGGGCATACACTGTCAAAGTTCTCAGGTATTTTTTTTAACAGTTCATCTAGGTTGAGTTTATTTACCTTTTTTATTTTGTGGTGGGTTTTTTTTTCTGTGAGATCTTGACCTTTTTGGACCAGCTAGCAGACAGAGTGAGTTGCTAGGGGAGCTCTGTGTTATTATCCATTTGTACTTCAACCCTCCCATGGCAGTGCTCTTAGTACCCGGATTTTTGCCTTGTCTCATTTTGGGAAGGAAACTCATTTTCCTTCCTCCTGCTCCTGTTATCCACTGCTCTTTTGGCACAGGTGCCCCAGATCTTTCTGGGTGTACAGTGAACAGCATAAATTGCTCAGGCAAGAAATCTGGAGAGGAAATCTACAGTTCACGGCTGACCTCTACTGTTGGCTCATTTTTTTGCTCTGCACATTGCTTTGTTGACAACTGCCTCACCCTGGGTGGTGAAGGCAGGGTCAGCAGTGAAAGCACTGTAGAAGCATGCACAGCCTGAGGTCCTCAGGGCTCTGTTTACGGGACTCAAAAGGTAAACGCTTCAGGGGGTAGTGCTGAAACCCCAAATTCCAGTAGTATAAGCACTGAAAGAATAATTCATAACTATTTCTTTGATAAATCTTGACTTATTTTTTGTTTCTGGAGGTCTAATTTGTTTTTTATGTTAGCAAGTTAAATTTTATAGGCACTTCAGAAATTCTGCTCTTTAGATATTCTTTAATAGCAATCAGCATCCCAACTCCTTGATTAAACTGTGTTCAATCAGGTGTATTCCTTCTAAAGGGTTTACCTTTCTAGTCAGAGATTCTGGTGTGAACGCACACAAGTGGCAGGAACGGGTTACCTTTGCTTTCTGTAGACAACCTGGCTAATAAAAGTTCATTTCACAAATATTTATATGGGTTGATTGTCTAGATACTAGCAAAGAAAGATTAACAAACACTATACTGAAGTCCTCTAAAAGCCTTCATTTATGGCACGAGTTATCTTTGTAAAAGTCTATTGTTTACAACTTAAAAGCAAGCTGTACAGTCTGTGGCCAGCAGAGGCTCTTTTCTTTGCCTCCAGTGCCCACCAGAGACAAGACCCACTCTCTCTGAGCTTAATTCTTCTTTCTGTTATATGCTATCCGGCCAGGTGATTTGGAGGGAGCTGTTTCCCCTCCCCAGATAATAACTTTTTTAGGCACAATGATGAATGCAAATTCATTTTACAATTACAGGCTGTAGAAACTACTGTGGGTCTCCCAGCCCACCTCCCACAGTTGGGTGTTTGCCAGAATATAAACAAGCCCTTAATATCAGCTTGTTTCTCATATACATTGGACATAATTGGACACGGCCAATTGTGTGTCTGTCTATTTGTGAATACCCAATATATTCACGGAGATAACAGTATGCACAGATCATATATCTTCACATGAAGGTCAGGCATAAGAAAATGTTTGTGGTAATAGTATGTATCTAATACCAGCATGCTGTCTATTGTTCCTTTATCTGGTAAGCAAAGAAGTAAATACAGCCTTGTAGAAAAAGCAAAAGTCCTCACTCAAGTACTATTTCAGATCTATTTTGAGAGCCTGAGTGAGGCACAGAGCTATTAGAGAAACAGCTACAGGATTCTGAATTAATGTGTCTATAGAAAAGACCCTCATCATAATTGTAAGATGTTTGTTTATACCCAAAGAGTATACCTAAAGAGGATTTTAAATGGTAACTTACAGCACGTTAGATGAGACATGCCCACATTTATTTGAATGTTATTCAAATTAAATTACCTCTTCAATTGTTACCTTTTTTTTTTTAGGT